ACATTCTTGTCATCTATACGTTTGATAAGAATAGTAGCGTACACTTGTATGATTTATCAGTTTCCTTTGTGAAATACTTTGCGAATTCCATCTCGGCCAATTTGTGTAACAGTCTTGATAATTGTACAGATGAATTCTGGGTAGATTTGGGCACGCCTCAGAATTGTAGTGTGAGCGGTATCGGAGCGAAATTGGAGCGAGACAAAGCGACCCCTCCAGCCTTAATTAGAAAACCCGCACCGCGCTCTGACCAAATTCCGCCCGTTCCGCTCCTCGCTCACGCTCCGCTCCGCTCACATGCTCTGGTATATACATGCCAATCATCACTTTAAACTGTCTAAACAAAACGTAATAGTAATGAACATAGCACAAAAGTAGAAGTCAGCCTTACCTTATGCTTTGCCAAAGCGCGAAAAGCGTATCTTTGCTGAAACTTGTAGGCATCCGAACCGTTTGTCTTTCCAAGGGGGGAGTCCGCATGCGCAGTGACGGAAAGTACACGGAATCGACTAAAATTGAAGAACGCGATTTAACGCAACTTTATTTATCATTTCCCCTGAACATTAGAAGAAGAAAAATAACTAAACTCGTGTTTATAAGTTACCTGAACATTTATTAGGTGTATTTGCTTTTTCAACTTAGAATCTTCATTTCATTTAACGATTTTGAAGGTTCGATTTTTTACAGTGCACGATCAGGAACACAGAGGACTAGTGAAGTAATGACACTAAGACGCTAATGAGCAGACTAGGGAAAGACTCACAATAAAATGAAGTAAAGGAGGGGGAGTGGCACACAGGAGGAATGGCAAGATCAGGACGTGACAACCACTGTGTTGTATCACCTCTTATTTTTACAACACTCTGTAAATGTTTGGTCAACTGAGACGACCAGTTGCTGGAGTCTTGAAAGTGAAATGGTGTATTTTATATATAGGGTATATATAAGATTTCAACTGCTCAGCAGTTCAGGGTCTCCTTTGTTGTATTTTTTGTTTCATGATGCACCAAATGATGTCAGTGGGTGACAGGTCTGGACTGCAGGCAGGCCAGTCTAGCACCCAGACTCTTCTACTATGGAGCCATGCTGTTATAATATGCGCAGAATGCTGTTAGGCATTGTCTTGCAGAAATAAACAAGGCCTTCTCTGAAAAAGATGTTTAGATGGCAGCATATGTTGCTCCAAAACTTGTATATATCGTTCAGCATTAATGGTGCCTTCTTTCCAGATGGACGAGCTACCCAAGCCATGGGCACTAATGCACCCCCATACCATCACGGATGCTGGCTTTTGAACTGTCCGCTAATAACAATCTGGATGGTCTCTCTCCTCTTTAGCCCAGAGGATGCAGTGTCCACAATTTCCAAAAAAGAATTAGAAATTTTGCTGTGGTCCATCTTAGGGCTGTCACCTTTTAAGCGATATTCAAACATTTGTTCAAACATGATGTGAAAAATTCCCATTCAAACTGTAATTAACCTAATTTTAAAGTGTCACTGTAGGCTATAAGCACATTAGACAGTTTGTTGTAATTTTGCTGCTCCATCTATGGGCCCCCTAAAAGGTCAGGGTGGAAAAAATATTTTTTTAAAAATAGTTTTGCGTTCCCTCCGCTTACTTTTGTAATCCCTTGGAATACTTTTGAGATCCGACTACACTTGCTCACTTGCTATTTGCACAAAGTGACGGCAACAATAAACCTAAATAATACAGACATGTCCTGTTAAGTGTGCTTTAAGCATTAAACTATGGGGGACAATGTACTCCATGTAACTTCCATATGTGTTTTCATACGTATTTATTACTAATTGCACTGTGTCAATTCACCGCTATACCCAGTCATCTTACTGACCCCTTGCCAATTTACATTTTTGCCATTTCAAGTGTTCTCTTTATAAATCACATTCTACCTGGAATTGTGTGCACATGGATCAGCCTTATATGGGGCAGTGGTGGCTAAAAGGTTAGGGAGGCACACTTGTAATTGAAAGATTGCTGGTTCAAATCCCTGACCAGCAAAGCACCACTGAGGTACCCAGACCAAGGTACCACCCCTGAGCACTGCTCCCCAGGCACTGAATTAGCTGCCCCCTGCTATGTCATGATGTAACATATGGGTTAAATACAGAGGACACATTTTGTTGTGGTGTGTCAACAATGACCACTAATCTCTAAATTCTATTCCGGCCTCAACACACCCACGTTCAACCATAACCAGTCAATGCAAAACACTTCATGAATATTTAAGCCTGATAAATGTTTACTTATCATGGAAATCCAGAAGAAGTGCAAAAAATTGAGGTACTTGTGGGTAAGGCGGAGACTACAGAAACCGCTTTGTTTGGTGGCCACAGCAGTGGGGTGACAAACAAAAAAATGCAGTGAGTGGCAACTGGTTGCAGATGCTGTTAGTGAATGCAGTGAACAGGACAGTACATGAAATGGAAAAAAAAATGGTCTGATCTGATGGGGAAACTTCAACGCATCGTAAGACCATGTCTGTTACTGGTAGGGGTAAGAGCATGCCCAAGCTGTCACCTTCGGAAACAGGGATGGCAGCAATACTTGGGGAAATAAGTGTGTGTGGTGTCGTGTCGGAGAAGGAGGGAGACACCAACATGGCTGAGCTTGTGGGAGTTACACAAAAATGTTCTGAGGGCAGAACGAAAAATGATTGGTTCAGAGAGATAACCAATCAGATTGTAGAGGAGGTGGGTCCAAGACATCTGATTGGTACTCTGGTTTCCACTTGCAGTCCAAAGACATGTAGTTATGGGAACTGGTGTCTCTATGTTGCCCATAGTGTGTGCATGTGCCCTGTCATTGGCTGACATCCTATCCTGGGTACACGCCGGCCTTGTGCTCCATGCTGCTTGGAAAAGTCTCCAGGCTCCCCATGACCAGTATATCATGAATGGACAAATATAGGATGAGATCTCTAAAAGTAGAACAATGCTGACTGCAATGTTAATGGTGTTTATTGGTTAGTATAAGTGAAATGCTGCAATGTTTTTGCGACACAGACATATCAATTGTGATGAAGGAAAATGGCATTTCTCATAAGAAAACCCTCATTTTGTGGCAACATACACATGCTCACAATGCACTCATATTAGCAGAGAATGTGACAACACACAATGGATGGAGCACGTTGGGCCTTTGAGTCAAAGCATGGACTCAAAGTTTTGCCCTGCCAAACATGGCTTCGTCTCAAGAAACAGCTACTCAGACAATTTTGGATTCAAAAGCCTGTCCGTTTTGATTTCCTCCCCTCTGTTGTCTGGGATATCAGTGTTTGGCAAACACAACAGATATGCTATTAAACAAAGAAAAATCTCGTTTCACATTATGTGAGTGGTTGTTTTAAAAATCTTGACTACAAGCATCAACCTGTGTACTGCATGGTCTTGCGTCACTTTTACAGTTTTAACTACATTTCTAAGTTATTTTTTCTCTCCGATAGAGACTCTTACAGGGCCTACGGTTGGGCACAAGTAAAACAAACCACCCGGCACATTCTTTGACAGTTTAGTGATTGCGTAACATCTGCCTGATAAGCAATTTTATAATGCTGATGTTACCAAGACAGCAGCCTGCCATGTAAATCCAAAGCTTGTCAGCAGAACAATCTCCCAAGTGAATAACATAAATGCTACCATCTAGTGGTCAATTGACAACTGAGCAAGTATATTTTCTTGTTGAATATGTATGCTCAGTGGGCCTCATTCACCAATATTTTCTTAAGAATTCTCTTAAATTTGTTCCTATGAAATTTGTTAAGAGAATTCTTAAGAAAATATTGGTGAATGAGGCCCAATGTCTGAAAGTTATTCTTAATATCCAGCACATGATACATTGTGATAATTTTTCTCCACACTTTTCACAGACCATCGTCCCCTTCTCTCTCTTCTGTCATGTGGTGGCTGTTTTTCCTCTGGCTGTGGGGGTGCTGGCTGCCCCCTGGTCTGCCACACTGCACTACGGAGAGAAACCCCCTCCAGTGCCAGAAGGCCCAGATGGTACCTGGGTCGAACCTGGCAGGTGAGGGCTTTGATGTGGTCACCATGGAGCCTAAGGGTGCCTACATCATCGACGTGGAGCACTGGCAGAGAAAAGCAGACAACTCCTGCACGCTGTGCACCAACCAATACCTGAACAATAAGAAGCAGAAGCTGCCACTGGCACTAGTGGATTGGAGAGCTGAGCTTGACTGCAAGAAGAAGGTGGCCAGCAGCATCTATGAATCCAGTGAGCAGTTCATTGAAAGCGGCCAGAGTGGGGTGGACATCAGCTGGAAAGTGGGACTTGATCTCATCAGTCCTCAATCAGGATCTCTCATGGTAGGAGGTACCCACTCAAAACAGGCCATTAAAGCTATGGAGATGTCCAAGAAGGACAAGTACAGCTTCATTAAACAGGAGTTCCACTGCAGCTACTACAGGTGAGGGGGGGGTAGTGCTCAATCGGGTGATAAGATGGAAAGATGCAGAGGGCAAGAAATGAATAACAAACAAACTTATTACTTGAAATGCTGATAAGGTTTCATCATGTCATTTTTAAACAGTGTGCCAAAAAAGGATTTATTTAAAAACATTTATTGTGGCTTACAACCACACAAATATGTCAGATGAATAGGATGTACAAAGGGTGAGATTAACCACCAAAAAATTTATAAAGTTAAATGCAACTGCTTATACTTATAAACAGTGTTTCCAATTTCAATCTGAAAAAATATGGAACAAATTGTGACCCGTATAGATTCAAAATGGAACACAATAATTTATTTTTCAATGCGGGACCAGTGACAATTGCAGCAGTCATATCTGACCTGTTCTTTGGCAGTCACAGGAAAAAAAACAACAGCAAATTGTACTGTCTGCATTTTCTAATGTTACGCCCCACAAAAAATGTTTCTTTTAGCCTTCTTAAATGGAATTTTAAGTGAAAATGGAGCATTGAAGTAAAGAAATAATGACTTGAGTTATATTGTGATAAATATTAATACTGACTGATATGAAAAAATATAAATTGTGATAAAATATTTTGCAATATCAGCTAAATTTACCTGGTAATGTTTTGCAAGCTTTATTTAAGCAGAGCTAAAATGCACATCACACCTGACGGTGTCTTGCTTGTCTTCCCACCCAGGTACCGAGTGCAGGACAGCCCACCCCTCCATAGGGAGTTTGCACGCAGCCTTGCACTCCTCCCACCTCTCTATAACAGTGTCACCAAGAAAGACTACCGCCGCCTACTGGACATCTACGGGACTCACTTCATCAGGAAGGTGCAGCTGGGCGGCCGCATGAGCAGCACCACCGCATTCCGGTTCTGCCAGGCGGCGCTAAACGGCTACACTGAGACTGAGGTGAAAGACTGCCTGGAGGTGGAGGCCTCCCTCTCCATAATGTCTTTTGCTGTTAAAGCTAAGGCTGACTTCTGTGAGCGTGACAAGAAAAAACACAACATCCACAGCTTCCACAGCCAGTTCACAGAAAGGATCACTGAAGTAAAGGGAGGTCAGCACATGGTTCCTGACCTCCTGTTTTCAGACAAACCTGAAGCCATGCAGAAGTGGCTGAACAGCCTGAAGACCACACCGGGAATCATCACCTACTCTCTCCACCCCCTGCATTATCTGGTGCAGAAGCCAAAGACCAAAAAGGCGGCGCTGAAGAAGGCTGTGGAGGACTACATCCTGGAGAAGGCCCTATACAAGCACTGCTCCAAGAAATGCTCAGGAGGTTCGACACCCAGCAAACATGACCCCTGTCACTGTGTCTGTGTGGCCAGTGAACAAACTAACTGCAACTGCTGCCCAACTATGCCGGGCCTGGCCCAAGTGACGGTTACGGTGAAGCGGGCCCGGGGCTTGTGGGGAGACTACATTACCCAGACTGACGGCTTTGTCTACATTGCTGTGGGCCACAGATATACCCAGACCAGAGTTATCCACAACAATGACAACCCGATCTGGGACAGCGAGTTCCCATTTGGTACCATTCATCTCTCACCAGACACAAAGATGAAGCTGGTAGTGTGGGATGAAGACAACCATTTGTTCAAATGGTGGAACGACAAGCTGGGAGAGTGCATGATCAATCCTGTTAGAGGCTTTCATAACAAAGTCTGTCCGCTGAACCATGGCAACCTCTACTACTCCTATAAGGTAGAGTGTGCTCCCGGGCTCACGGGAAAGCATTGCAGAGACTACTGCCCTTATCCTATGAACCCCAGACTGGCCGACTTTTACACATCCCGGAATGCCTTCAACGTCACGCCCGTTCTCCTGGAGCGCCTCAGAAGGGGGCAGTCCATCGAGGATCCCCTGCCGTTTCTGTTATCCCACAGGAGTGATAATAAGACGCTGGGCTCCTCAGGTGGAGATACTCCTCATGCTCCTGCTGAGCCCTAAGGGAGGATGAGATGCACGCTGCCATGAGGATGTAGTATCTGCTTTAGCTCTCCCCTTTCTGCCGCTGTCCATGCAGCCAATCCACTCAGCTCATCAAGCTTGCATTTCTGAGAAACATGCATTTCTACTGCAATAAAATCAAATGCAACTTTACTAAAGAATTGCTGTGTTTCTGTTCCAATGACCATCATCCACCTCCCTCCTTGGAGAATGGCTTTATTCTTGATTCTTGACTGTGTGCCACAGCCACCAACAGGCTATCTCTGCCACTCTGTCTTGTACCAGCCCAGACTGCTTATAAAAACTTACATTCAAGATTTGGCTACACTCAAGATTTTGGCAAACGAAGCCCTTACAGACAGTTTACACCAGGTGTGTCAAACTCAGTGAATGGGCCATATTAAAAGCCCCCAATGAATCTGTGGCCCCACCAGGGCTTAGTTTTTTAGGTATGAGCCCAACTTTGCTGTTATCTGGTTTAAATCTTCACTACACATGAAAAACATTTATAAATGTGAACTTTGTAGCAAACACTACTCCTGAAAATTCTCGGAACAATGACATAAAATAACCTTTCTGAAGATACATAGTTAAATCAAATGCATCTACTGGGCCGATGAACTGCATACTTGCATAGCAGTTATGTGCTTCCCTGATTATAAATATACTAAGCATGTTACAAATGATGCAATGGTGACATTAAAACATATCTAAAGATGGTTGACAGAAACCCACTACCAGTATATTACAGTATGGGTAAGGGGTGGCTCCTCGCTTATTGACCAATTCGCTTAACGACCTAGTCGTTAAGTGAGGAGTGTATGTATTATTCATCTGCTTTGATCTGTTATTATCCACTGGATCCTTCAATCAACTGAGAAATAGGCTGAGATTAGCTCCAAGAAATCAAAACAACCAGATTACAACTAGAATGTTTTGCTGAATTTTATGCTAACTCACTAACTTGTTAGTGGGGGGTAGGGCTGTAACAGGACACAAAGGCATCGTGTGCCATTGAGTTACATCATTTTTGGATGGAAAAACATTGAAATAGATAAATATATTTTGTGACACTGGCAGAACCTAAATTCACAAATAGATGTTCAACAGAGAAAAAAACATCCTAATTATAGTTGTGAGTTAGGTACGGCTAAAGCTGGTTGCAGTCAGTCACAATCGGCAGTTTGGAAACTTTTTGATTTCCCAATAAATTACACCAAGTGTAGAGAGAGTTTTGACTCTCTGTTGGTTCTGTTATACTGAACTTGGATATCTTGCTAGAAACTTATCCAACATATTAACTCATTTGACACAACATTATCTGATTGTGTGTACAGTCACAGCAAGGCAGAAACTGGCTCTCTGGAGTAAGTCAGTCTCACCTTAGCATTACAAATATCCAAAGATCTTTAGGCCACTCTACATAAGAACATAAGAAATTTACAAATAAGAGGAGGCCATTCGGCCCATCAAGCTTGTTTGAGGAGAACTCAATGAATAGCTCAGAGTTGTTCAAATCTCATGTAGCTCTGATTTAAAGGAACCCAAGGTTTTAGCTTGCACTACATCAACAGGAAGACTCTAACTACATAAGACATTCCTCTAAGCCCAGGAATCATTCTTGTAGCCCTACGCTGAACCACCAATGTCCTTTTAAGGTAAGGTGACCAATCCTAGAGATTGACCTTTTTAATTGGTTCCCCACACTGGTGAGAGTGGGACATGGAAGCATCAACATACACACCCAGGTCTTTCTCATAATCAGCTACCTTTATTTCAGTGGAACCCATAAAATATCTGCACTTTATACGTCTGCTCCCTGCATGGATTACTTTACATTTGTCTTCATTAAATTTCATATGCCAGATATCAGCACAGTCCTAATTAAATCACAATCCCGCAGTAGCCTCTGTGCTACTGGTTTAGTATCTGCTACACCACTCACCTTGGTGTCGTCTGCAAATTTAAAGTTATTATATATATTGGTGTCAATATTGTTAATGTAAATTAGGAATAACAGTGTTCTGAAAATTTAACTCTGCGGTACCCCACACAGCAACAGCAGCTGTACAGCAGGCAAAGCAGCCGCTGTAGTGGAGCAGGAAAAGCAGCCATACCTAATGGCGTTTCATGGTCTTCCCAACCAAACAGAGAAACACCACCTCACATCTGCATTTCCTGCGAAAGGAACCCAATGATTAAACACACGGTCACTGTCAGATCAAAATTACGGACTAGTTTATAAAATAAACCCATTAGCAAGTCGGCTGGTACCAATGTTTACCTGCAGCAACGCACACCTAATCACAAGCAGTCTAATACAATTAAGCTAAAACAAAATAGAGTAAACATACCAACTGCCACCTACCAGGGCCGCTTTTAACACACGTGCAATCGGTGCAATGCACCGCGCGCCCCTGCAGCGACGGGCTCCTGTTTGGGTGCAGCAATTTTTATCGGTAATTTTTCACTGGAGAAATCACAATGTGTCACGCCCAGCTCCGTCCGATCCTCCGAACCGTGACAGAATGACGGATCTCTCGGAAAGCACAAAGCGGCAGACCGAGCACCACCGGCTCGGTCTGCTGCAAGACTTTGTGTACTGGCGGTCCCAGCTCGAGGTCCAAGAAGACCCCGTAGCCATGGCTCTGGCTAACCAGGGCGCGGACCTCCTCGCGGAGGAGCGCCCGCCCGGACAGGACTATCCCCTCCGAAGGGCACGGAAATGCCTCCACCGCCTGAGCCAACGCCTGACGAGCAGCCGGGAGAATCGGAGGAAAAGCAGAGAACCACCTGAAGAAGCCCCGACGCTCTTCCTGGGAGCTTGCTCTCTGTTCCCCACCTGGGAGTCGGCTAGTGGGCAAGAAAGCTCCCCGCTTACCTGGGGAGACACCGCCCCAACCCGCCTAGGACTCTGGGGAATCAGCGCGGTAAGGGACGCTATTCCCCGGATCCCTAAAGCCCTTAAAGGGGCAGCTCCGGACCTGCCTGCTCTGGACCTGCCTGCTCCAGACCTGCCTGCGGTCCCTGCAGCTGCCACACGGCCGAGGTGCCTGCTGCAGCACCCCCCAGGGTTCCTGAGCCACAGCCCTGCCTGGAGGCTGTAAACAGGTTTCGCCTCCTACAGGAACGGTACTGGCGGGTGGTTGAGGAACCCGCCGTGAGAGACTCCCTAGAGGCAGCTCCACTCCGGGAGCAGCTCCGGAGGGAGTTTGCCACTGCCGCCCCTGATTCCCCGCTCCAGCAGCTAGCCCAGGTGGAGGAGACCCTGAGGCAGCTGCTCCATTTGCGGCCAGCAACCCTGCCTGCTGCCGCCGCTCTGCCCACGGCCCTGCCTGATGCCGCTGTCCTGCCTGTCCAGCCCGACTCGCCCGTCCAGCCCTGCTCGTCCGTGGATGAGGCGGCACCACCTGCTGCCACCCCACCCACGTCCTTGCTGGCCACCTCCCATGGAGAAAAGACTCCTGTCTCCCCAGCACTAGTCCCAGTCCCCGAGGAGGTCCCGGACAACCAGCACCCAGCTCCTTTTTCCTGTGAAGAAGATGAGCTGGAGTGGGACCCCTCGGGGACCTCCCTGATGACTCCCTCGCCCTTGCCCCGGCGAGGCCGACACCCCCCAGGACCCCGCCTTTCAGTGTCCCATAAGGGACGGGAACACAGGCGTCGGGCCCGGGTCCCGCCCGCCCTGCCCCCTGGCTCACCCATTCGGCCCCTGGCTGTGGCTCGGTGGCTGCCTGCGGGTCCTCCGGCTCTGGGTCGGCAGTCTCCTCCGGGTCCCCCCCTGGTTCTTCGGTGTCGGTCCTCGGTCCCTTTGGGGGGGGGGTTCTGTCATGCCCAGCTCCGTCCGATCCTCGTGTGTGCCACGCCCCCCTCATTACCTCGTGTTAATCCCCGATTGTGATCACCTGTGTCCTGTTATTTTGACTAGTCTTGTGTATATTAGTCCGCGTCCTCTTCTGTTTCCCAGATCCATCATTGTAGTGTCCGTAGATGTCCGTGCCTGTCTGTCCGTTCATCAATAAAATCCCATTTACCCGTAAGTACGGTTCCATTCGACTTTTAATGATTTCTTAGGCACAGCCATCAGTAGTGTGTCTGTTGGCGGGGAGAGTGTCGACCATGTCTGGAGATTTACTTACCTCGGGAGCGATATTCATGTCTCTGGTGAGATGGGAGAGCATGGAGGGTCATGAGATTGTTGGAAAGGGGTGTGAGGCACTCCTGATATTTTTGCAAGAGGACAAAGGTCCAAGTCTTTTCAGTCCTGGTGCTCCCTGTCTTGCTGTATGGCTGTGAGACATGGACACTATCCAGTGAGTTGAGACAAAGACTGGATTCCTTCAGTACTGTGTCTTTTCGGAGAATCCTTGAGTACTACTGGTTTGACTTTGTGTTGAACGAGCGGTTGCTAGAGGAGTTCCGAGTGAGGCACATTTCCTGCATTGTGAGGAAGCATCAGTTATGGCACTATCGCCATGAGGCGCGTTTCACTGAGGGGGATCTGGCTCGTGGGATTCTCATTGCTGAGGACCCGAGCAGCTGGACCAGGCCAACGAGACACCTAAGGAACACCTGGCTGTGGCAGATGAATGGCCATTTCTGGAGGGTGGGACTGGACCATGTGTCTGCCTTGGGGGTTGCCAGCTGGGATCTGGAGGAGTTTAGGCCAGTGGTGGGTGTGGCAATGTGCTCCCCAACCTGACCTATGTGGAGCTACAATACTTCACATCAGGCCTACGGGCAAACCTGGTTTTAAAGACTAAGGCACTGATGGGTTTGCCCCGCCCCACAAAGCATGACACTCAGCAGCACTATCAGTTGATTTGGTAACACTTTACTTAAGGCCATGTTTTTAGTAATTTATATACATATTCGTAACAAATGAATGCATTCATAAAGCATTATAAACATGGCTATTAATATTTATCAAAAGGCACAACACATAGCCATGTGTATTATCCATTAGAAATGCTATATGAGGCCCTCCTCTGTAATTCATGTGAACTACTAATGAAAATATATTGGAACTCTTACATAATATCAATGACTCAAAAAGAACAGCATGCAAAAAGGCAGTATTAGAAATGTAAGGAATGTGATTATTGAAATAAGACACAATATACCGATCTGTGGATGAGTGGATGTCATGTCCTGCGCATATGAGCCTCCTGTTTGCCACGGCCCCCTCGTTACCTCCAGCTGTTCTGCATTTCCGTCCCTTAGTCTTGTGTATTTAAGTCCACATCACAGTGTGTATCCCCCGATCTGTCATTGATGTTTGTTACCATCTGCCCTGTCCGTTCCCCGATTCCTCGTAATAAACCCTTGTGTTTGGAATACTCACCTGCCTGCCTCGTCCTTCCCCGGTTCCTGCCTACTCGCCAACCACTGGTGACAACAGAATGACAGATCTCCACAAAGAAGACTCACCTCCGTGATCCGAGCGGCAACGCGTTGGATTACTTCATAAGGTGATTTACTGGCTCAGCCAGCCCGAGATACGAGAAGACCCAAAGGTACTGGAGCTGGCCAGCTGGAGCGGGACCCTCCTGGAGGAGATGTCCCTGCCCGGGAACGTGCATCTCTTACAACGGGTGCATGAAAACCTCCGGCTGCTGATGCAGCGCATGACGGAGAGGAGGATTCGGCTATTCGTGCTGCACACAGCAGTGGTTGTAAATTTGAATTAAAATGAGAAAGTCCGTTTAAAACAAAATCAAATCAGATAGATCTAAGCTATCCATACTCTGACGAGCGTGAAAGAGAGAACACGACAACATGCTTCAGCAAGGATTCAGACGTGTATGTGAATGTTTGTCGAGGCGGTTATCTAATAGTGCATTCGTTTTTCTCTCGGAACTCGGAAATTTCGTGTTGAGTGACATCACGTCCGACAATCTCTTGTTCAAGCTACCACATCTCAGAACAAACATGGCTGCCTCCATGAACACGCTGCTGTCACGCCCCGCTCCATCCGCTCCTAATGTGTGCCACGCCCACCTCGTTACCTCGTGTTCAGCCCTGATTGTTCTCACCTGTGGTTCGTTACCTGTAGCTTGTCTTTTGTATTTAGTCCTTGTCTCAGTCAGTCTACCCAGATCCGTCATTGTATTGTTATGTGTATGGTTATGCGTGCTTCCCGTGTTTGCCTTCTCGTCTCCATTAAAACCCCTGTTTACCCGGTCATCTGGCTTCTCTTGCCTGCTACACCGCTCGCCCGCGCACCTGTCGTAACCGAATGACGGATCTCTTTAAAGACGCACCGCAGCAGAAGGACGATCTCTGGCTTCTCCTGCTGCATGAGGTAGCGTATTGGCGCAAACTACCGGAGATCCGCGGGGATCCCGGTTTGTTCGCCCTAGCGGAGGAGAGCTGGGATCTCCTCCAGGCGGTTACCGCACTGACGGAGGAACAAACAATGGCGGAAGTGCGCTCTCTCCTTCAGCAGCTCGTCAACCAGGTAAAGGAGAAGTGGCTCCGGCCTCTCTCCTGCACGGAGGTAACCCCGCCCCCACCTACCGGTCCTGGTCGGCGGAAAAAGAAGAGGCGAAGAGGGAAGGGAGAAGAAGCCGCTCCGACTCTCTTCCTGGGGACTTGCTCTCTGCACCCCGCCTGGGATGACACCGCCGCTACCCGCCTGGCCAGCTCCCATCTGGAGAAGCCACCTCCGATGGAGGCGTACTATTACCGGCCGGAGCACCTGGGTCAAGGTGGGAGACGCGCCATTAGGGACGCTATTCCCCGGGTCCCTAGAGCCCTTAAAGGGACAGCACCAGCTCGCTCGGCGTTCCTCCTGGTGCCCGTTCCGGATCTGCCCATCGTGCCGGACCTGCCTGATCCGGACCTGCCAGCACCGCCTGCTGCTGCCACCGCTTTGCCAGCGGCACCGCCTGTCCTGCCTGCCCAGCCTGCTGCTGCTGCCGCACTGCCCGCGGCAACGCCTGCTGCTGCCACCGCTTTGCCAGCGGCACCGCCTGTCCTGCCTGCCCAGCCTGCTGCTGCTGCCGCACTGCCCGCGGCAACGCCTGCTGCTGCCACCGCTTTGCCAGCGGCACCGCCTGTCC